GCCTTTGTGGAAGACTTTTTTTTTTTTTCACTCTTCTGCCAAAGAGTATTTACAGTTTGGTGAAGGAGAGTGATATGATTCAAAAAAATGGCAGGAAGCGAATAAAGAGGAGGAAGGGGAGACTGCTAAATATAAAATCCCCAGTGATGCAATGCTGCCACTAAGGGCAACTGGAAACCTCTGGCTGTGTTCTCGCCCTTCCCATAGCAGTGCCCAAAGACCAGGAAGAGGCCAGTAGGCTAGGACACTGGGAAACCTAAGCCTAGGATTGTTTAAAAAAGAATGGTACACTTCTGTAGACATGTATCCCTTATTTTTTTCTTGACTCTAATTTTATTTTACATTACTTATATATAATGGGTTTGTGACGTTTTATAATGAATATACATAACCTATTTCCTCATATTCATTCTCATATACTCTTTTGTTCCGTTCTCACAATCCCCTCCATCTTCCCAACCAGCCCTTCTGTGGGCCTGACGAGGCTAGAACTTACTATATAGCCCAAGCTGGCTTTGAATTCATGGAAATCCTCCTGCTTCTGCCTCCTAGGTGCTGAAATTACAGGTACACACCTACCAAACTCTACCCTTTATGGTGTATTTACTGTTGTTGTTTGGCAATACCAGGAATTGAAGCCAGGGCCTGGCACACATATTAGGGTGAGCGCTGTAGCACCGAGCTACCTTTTTCTTTTATGGTTTTTTGTTTGTTTGTGGTACCTCAAGAGTCTTGGTCCACGGGCCAGTAACACTCTAACTCTGGCCAAATTAGTGAGTCTCTCTGCCCTTGGTGTCCTTCGCTGGGAAATGAAGAAACGGAACAAAGACATATCTCGCTGCAGGGGGAGTCCACTGCTCTGGGTTCAGTCACTGGGACACCCAGACTGGCTTTCTCCTTCCTTCCATCCACCCCAGATCCTCTCTCAGAAGGATTAGAATGATTGTAGGCGGTCTGTCTGAGGTGACATAGCAAGAGGCAGACAGTACAGTGTCTCTATATGCTGTTCTGAGATCCCCTCTCTGGTCTAGAGAGCTACTTTTCAGCCCTAACCACAGCATGTAGGTCTGCCTCATCTAAGGCATCAGAGTTCCTATAAAAAGGGCACCGTGCACTCTCTTCTGCTTTCTGCCAGTTCTCTTTCTCTCAGCACCTCTGAGTCTTCCACCGGCTTATGGACATATGTACGTTCTGAAGCACTTGCAAACTCTGTACAGGTGTCAGGACCCTAAGCCTCACCGCCAGAGCAGGGGACAAACAGGGTGTTGAGTATTCAAATCCTTTTTAGCTCTGCCTCCGTCACAGTTTGTTTTCCACAGCACTTCAGACATCAGGCTTTCTGTTTCCTGAACATCATTTTTCCTTTTTCCCACTCAGGAAATCTCAAACTATCACAAAGAAAAGTGGCTCCTCTAAAACATTAAAAAATAACCCTGATCTGGTTTACAGGCTGCTCCATGATATCAGAGGGGCAGATGAAAGAGATTATAATCCTCTATTGTCCTTCACGTAGACTGGTTATTAAATCTTTCATCTTCTTACTCACTTTAAAATACAAGTATAAATGCCGAAAGCTACAGCTGACTTTCCCTTCTGCGTTGCACGTCTGCTGGAGCAATAGCTTTCCAGAAGCAGACAGGTGCCTTGAGTTGTCTACGAAAAAGTCACAGATTCAGAGATGGGAGATGAGAGAGAGAGAGAGAGAGAGAGAGAGAGAGAGAGAGAGAGAGAGAGAGAGAGAGAGAGAGAAACTTACAGACTTCAGAACATTTTCTTGAGTTCCACCAGGATGCTCTTCCAGGCTCAGATGGGCAGCCTGGTGGTACTTCAGTCTTAGAAAACTGGCCTGGCTGAGCTTGGTCTGGTTTGTAAAAAAACATAGGTACAGACAGTTGCTAGTTTGCAAAACTAAGACCAGGGATAAAAGTAACTGATGGGGACTCATGAAGCCAGGTGTGGTAGTACAGGCCTGAAATCCTAGCATTTGGGAAATGGAGAAGAAGAATCAGGAGTTCAGGGCCACAGTGAGACCTTATCTGGAAAAAATAAAAATAGAAGGAAGTTGAGAACTTTGGTGTTACTGAAATAAAATGATCCTTGCAGGAATGAAAAAGGAAGGAATAAAAGGCACCTTTAAAAAGGAAGGAGACTATGGGTACTGTTGAGACAGCTCCATGAGCAAAGGTGCCTGTGGCCAACCCTGATGACCTGAATTCAGTACCTGGGACCCACATGGTGGAAGGAGAGCATCAGATCCCCCAAGCAGTCTTGCACACGCACACGCACGTGCGCGCGCACACACACATACACTAAACAAATTATAATTTTTGTTTTATTTCCTTTTTTGAAACAGGATTTCTCTGTGTAGCCCTGCCTGCCCCAGAAGTCAGTCTGTAGACCAGGCTGGCCTTGAACCCAGAGATCTGTTTGCCTCTGCCTCCCGAGTGCTGGAACTAAAAGTGTGGGCCACCATTGCCCGGCAACAAATTATAATTAAAAAGAAATGTAAAAGGTTATGGGAGAAGGACTCATGGGGCACCTCTTTTTCCTAAAGAGTTAGATAGTTAATGGTTGCTAAGGGGAGAGAGAGTCATTTTTCTTTAGTGGTGTAAAAATTGGGAGGTTACCAATGCTCCAATAAGAATCCCTCTGCCCATATCCATGCACGCACCCCCAATTAAACTTAGTGGAACACAAAAAAACAAGAACAAAACAGAGCAATAAATAAATAAGTAAATAAATAAATAACTTATCTAACTTATTTTTCAGTCCTCTCCCAGCTTCAGAGAGCTGTTTCTTTTGTCTTCAATAAACTTTGCTTCCTTGCTTGGCCATCCTCTGACCCCGGCCGAAAAAGATACGAAATTAACAAGAGGCCTTATTGGGAAGGTGCTTCCAGCAGAACTGGGAGGGAATAAGAGAAGGTAATGGGGGGGGGGGGAGTGAGATGGCAAATAAACAAAATATATACACGTACAACATAGTCAAGGAATTTTTAAAAATTTAATTTACTTTCTTTAAAAAGAAGAGGGCTGATGAAACAGGGCATAGTGGTGCATGCCTGGAATTCCAGCACTCGGGTAAGATCAGGAGTCCAAGGTCATCCTCAACTACCTAGAAAGTAGGAAGCCAACCTTGGATACAGAAGACCCTGTCTCAAAAACAAAGACAATCAGAAATGTGGGGTAGGGCCTCGCAGTGGCAACTGTGAATTGCTAGTGAGCATATAAACGATTTGGGCTCTTTGGAAAATAGTTTCGGAGTTCCGAAAAATCTTAGACATAGGTGTGGTGGGTGTGGTGTCATCTGTACAGCACATCTGAAACAGGCAAATCCACAGAGAGAGCAGATCGGTAGTTAACGGGGCTGGAGGAAAGGACTGTAGTGACTGACAACTAGGACATGGGTCTTATCTGGGGAGAACCAACTGGGACTGGACATTTGTGACAGACTCAGAGCCTGCTGCAAATACTAAAGCCACCGAGCTGTACATACTAAAGGTGAGTTTCCTGATATATGAATGATATCTTAATTTAAACGGTTTAAACATTAAAAGAAAGGAAAAACACAGGACTGTGTGGGGTGGCCCTCAAAGTTGGAGTCTATCAACACAGACTAGTTTTGACTTTAAGGTGAAATACATTCACCTATAACTAAAAAAAATAAATAAATAAAAATGAAATGTCCTTTTTGGTGTTTTGTTTTGTTGATTGATCTGGGTTTCTATTTCATTCTGTATTGTTTTTTGTTTTGAGATAGGGTCTCACATTGTAGCCCAGTTCAGCCTGGAACTCATGATGTAGTCCAAACTCGCCTCAGACGCACAGCAATCTTCCACGTGCCCAATCCTCCGAGTGCTGGAATCACAGGAGTGCATCACTAGGCCTGTTTTGGATTTTGGAAACAGGGTGTCACAACCTTAGGCTGTCATGAACCTTAGGCTGTTCTTGAACTCACAGTCTTCTGCCTCTGCCTCCTTAGTGCTGAGATTGCAGGCATACTCCACACCCAGTCCTAAATGATTTCTCCCCAACAAAGCATTTGCCGAGCCTTCTATACCACAACCTTCACCAATCTCCCCGACAATTCCTCCAAGGAGTCTATCACTTTAGCAGTTTTACAGAGGTGAAATCAAGGGCTCACAGATACGGATTGAGTCAGTCCCATTATCACAGAGTAAGCAAGCATTTTATGAGAAGGCACAGGCCATGAGAGGAGTGGGTGCAGACTTGAAAGACAGGAGGACATGCTAGGCTGTTAACACTGATAGCAGAACCCCAGGGTGCTGGATTGCGGAACATTACCCCCACCTTTGCTCTGACAGGTTCTATACACTGGCTGAATGTGGGGGAATGACATAGTGACTTTGGGAAGACACTTCCAACATCTCTCTGAACCTGTGATGGGAGAGAATCCCAACTAGAACACATGTGAAAGAAACAGAATTCAAGGGGCTGGAGAGATGGCTCAGAGGCTAAGAGCATTGGCTGCACTTCCAAAGGTCCTGAGTTCAATTCCCAGCAACCACATGGTGGCTCACAACCATCTGTAATGAGATATGGCGCCCTTTTCTGGCCTGCAGGGACATATGCAGGCAGACCACTTTATACTTAATAAATAAATAAATCTTAAAAAAAAAAAAACAGAATTCAAGCCCTTCCCCCAATCTTCTTCCCTTGGGGTAAAACAGGGCTTTCCACGTCTTCAGCAATTCTTTCAGGCCTCTCATTTCCAAGGATATCCAAAAGCTCCCCCACCCACCCCCACCTTTTCTCCCTTATTAGAAGTCTGTCCTGAAGCTGAAGGAGGAGTGTGAGGTGGAGCCATGTGGTTGGGACACGGAGGCCGGATGGGCATCTGCCTTGGGAGTGGGGCTTACTCCGGATAAGTCAAGAACCGCTGGACCACCAGAGCCCAGTACGATGGAACATGCAGTGGAGACTATCATGCCATGGAGATACCCCTGTCCAAACTAGGAGGGGGGCGAAGGGCTTGGAAACTAGAAAATGCTAGATCTGAGCAAAGCGAGAGGAGAGAACAAGGCCAGCAACACACAGAGCTCTGTGTATTCAGAGGGAAGTTGGCAGGGTTGTGCCCGGGCAGAGAAACTCCGAGTGGTACAAAGGGACGTGCCCGGAGTGGAGAAATCATGCTAATTGTCTGCACCAGAGCTGGAGAACGCCACCCAAAATGAAGAGAGAAAGGGGAGCCCTGTCCAGAGCCTCCAGGGCCCTGCACCTCGCTCCTTTTGTCTACCTGCTTCTCATCCAGCCAGGTAGGAGACCAGAAAGGTCTGGAGAAAAGAAGTTGGGGCTTTTGACGGAGGGGGAGTGGGAGAACAGAGCCTGAATACCTTCAGGGCTGGAGGAGGGGAGAGAGCGCTGTGACCGTGGGAAGATCTCAGTGAATTAAGGAATCAGTGTTGAAGATATCTCTTCATTCCCTATGCTTCCTGCCTGGCCCCTGGCCCCCTCCCCCAAGGCTGCATGACTTTGGAGCTCCCACGGCATTCAGTACATTAGATGGAAGGCATTGTGCCACTTCTTATGGGATGACTTGTTGGCATGGGCCTGTCCAAGCATTCTTTTCAGAGGATTATGTGAGCTCTTGGTGGGAGGAGGAGGGGAAATCTTGGTGGTGAGCCTCCCAAATCTTCACCCTGGCTTCTTTGAGTGTCAAACTGCTTGAAAGAGAAAAGAAGTTTGTAGGTAATGAGCCGCCTGGTTTAGGATAATAATCCATCCTATTCATAATTCACTCGAAGCCATAGACACCTACCTCTTGTAATGTCCCCTATCAACTCTATGGAGAACTGACCTTATTTTAAATACTGTCGATGTGTTTTTGTGTTCATACACATAATGACAGGGAGCCCAGAAACGCACATTTTCGTGTGGCAAACAGATACGTAGATTGTTTTAACAAAAAGCAAGGAATCAGGGAAAAAAAAAGTCACCTGCCTCCCTCCAGGAAGCTGTTGCTGGTGGGGCAGGATATGTGTGGGTGAGAACCCGGGAATGTTTCCTCGTAGGAAGAATGTTTGCACTGAATCTCAGAGGATGAGAAAAATAGGTAGGAGCATGAGTGAGATGATTGTTGGGAAATGGACAAAGGTCAAGAGCTTGAAATAGTCTCGTGTGTTTAGGCGGAGCCCAGAAGTCCAGCATTGATGAGAGAAAAGCAGGAATTGAGTTCAGCAAAATCCTTGTAAAACTGTCCCCGAAGATGAGAGGTAGTCATAAGCAGTGGGCAGGGAAACGGAGTGATTTTTAATTTGGGAACTGGAAGGATCAGATAGACGTTTGGATCCCTTGGTGTGCAGTGAAGCATTGCTGGGAAAATGAGGCAACAGAATAGAATGGAAGCCCGTTGAATTCTTCTGAGCGGATGAAACAAACAGCATGAAGTAGGTGGTTTAGGTAGCAGGACATCGTTGTCTTGCAGTTCTGAAAGGCAGACGCTAGAGATCAAGGTATTGATGGTGCCACGGTACCTCTGCAAGCCTTAAGGACAGATCTGTCCCGGGTCTCTTTGGCTTGAGGCAGCAAAATTCCAGCCTTCAGGTGGCGTTTTCCTGTTTGCGTGTCTGTGTTCAAATGTCCCCGTTTTACAAGGACGTGTGCGGAAGTGGATCCACCCTGCTCCAGCATGACCTCATTTTAACTCCTTGGCTCTGCAAAGACTCCATCGCCAAAAGAAGTCCGGCCGTGAGATGTGGGGCTTGGGGGTGAGGATTATGTGGACTTCAGCATGTGAGTTTGAGGATAGGTACTTCAGCTCACAGCAAAGCTGTTTTTCTAATTATAAATCATGTTAATAACACAGTAGTTATGAGCCAGGCATGGCAGTGCGTGCCTGTTAATCTCAGCACCTTAGAGGTAGAAGAAGGAGGATCAGGAGTTGAGGGTTATCTTTGGCTACATAGTGAGTTTGAGTCCAACCTGGGCTCCATGAGATCCTGTCACAAACAAACAATATTAGCTATAATTTATGAGAGCTAATTATTGGGCCCTAGGCTATTGTCCTGCTATTGTAACAAGCAAATGGAAGTGCAGATTCTGTAATAAACCTCTGCCATCTTTACTGTATTATTTAGGAAAATGTCAGTGTCTGTAGTAGATAAATTTCAAAATTGAAGTCCTTGGCATATATTATGTGCCAGTGTAATAAAGTGGTAGAGTAGGCCTGGGAAAGGAAGGACGATATTGTGTAGAGTTCTCAAGGAACACGCTAAGATGATGGGACTTAATCTGCTTCAGTGTGTAGAGTTCTCAAGGAACACGCTAAGCTGATGGGACTCTGTCTGCTGTAGTGTGTAGAGTTCTCAAGGAACACACTAAGCTGATGGAACTCTATCTGCTTCAGTGTGTAGAGTTCTTAAGGAACACGCTAAGCTGATGGGACTCTGTCTGTTTCAGTGTGTAGAGTTCTCAAAAAAAAAACATGCTAAGCTGATGGGACTCTGTCTGCTTCAGTGATGTGTGGATCACTGTAGGGTTTGTCTCTACTTAGTCCAAGTAGAGAATTTGAGGCAGGGTCTTCTTACTCTATAGCCCTGACTGGCCTGGAACTTGCTATGTAAACCAGACTGGCTTCAGACTCACAGAGATCTACGTGTCAGTCCTTGTGTCCTGAGAGCTACAACTAAAGGTGTTGGCCATCATGCCTGGCCAAAGAGAAAATTCAAAACCAACCAACCAAACAAACAAACAAATAAACAAAAAAACCTTAACAGATACAGGAAGAGGGTTTCCAAAATAAGTCTCTGAGTGCCACGTATCCCTTTCACTAGTTCTATTGGCTAGAATTTGCTACATGGCCGTGCTAACTGTAGTGAAAGCTAGGAAATGCAGTATTAAGATTGGCAAGGAGAGGGCTGGAGAGGAGGTTCCATGAAGAGGGCCCACTGCTCTTGTAGAGAACGTAGGTCTGATTCCCAGCACCCACATGGTGGCTCACAACCATCCACAATTCCAGTTTCAGGGGCTACATGGCTTCTTCCAACCCCCGCAGACACTGCACACGTGTTATACATATATGTACGTGCAGGCAAAACACTCATACACATAAAATAAAATTCAGGCACTGATGTTGACACATTGGGCTTTCTTTGACGGAGCCTGCCTCTTCTTTGTCTTCACATTTATTTGCTTATTTCATGGGAGTCCCAGCACATAACTGCAGAGGTAGGAGACAAGGCAGTTCTCTCTGTCCATTTTGTGGGTCCCAGGTATCAGCTTTGGTGACAAGTACCCTTACCCATTAAACCATCTGGCTGGCCCCAAATCAGGCCAAATTCAGCCTTCTTAAACTCACCATAGCACAATTCACAAGATATTCAAATAAGACTTACGCAGAGGCTAAGGTGTTATAATGATATAAATCCAAGCTTTGGAGGTTTTTATTCTCTGGACTTATCTACTCCTCTGCCTGGTTTCTGTGTTGAATTTGAAGATGTGGGTGGGTATTAGAACAGTCTGACATTGTAGTCCATGGCAACCTTGAATTTAAGGCAATCGTCATGCCTCAGCCTCCTGGATTCTGGGATTAGAGATACGAGCCATCACACCCACTGTCTTTTTTAGCCTACCATGTTGCAATGGAGATCCTTTTTAGTTTAAAAAAAATAGTGTAATTAAAAAACTCATAGAGGAAGATGCAGTTAACATGAGGATATAGTCCTATAGACCCTTAGCAAGTGAACAAGCCCATGTAATCATCCCTTAGATAAAGAAACAGATATGGCTAGGTTGGTGGCATAACCTTTAATCTCAGCACTTGGGAGACAGAGGCAGGAGGATTTCTGTGAGTTCAAAGCCAGGCTAGTTTACATAGAAAATTCCAGGCCAGCCAGGACCACATAGTGAGACCTTGTCTCAAGAAAAGAAAGAAATCTTGCTATTTCCTCTGAATCACCCTAGGTATTTCAGTTGCTATGTAAGCCACTGAGGCAGATACCTTCAGAGCAGACTCCTGTGTCAATGTCCCTTCAAAGAACCTTCATTTTCAGCATAAAGTTTGTGACACAAGCTGAGCATGCCCAGAGGTATCCTGTCACAACTTTAATCTTCTAACCATGCACTCCATATCGTATTGAGCACGTCCAGGGGTATACTCCCTAAGTGATAAAACTGGGCGTTGGCCCAACCTCTGAATGAGTATGTATAGACTCCCCAAATAAATCTCTTCTCTGTCTGTGTTAAGGAGGGCAGTGCTTTGGAAATAAATCCTATGTTTTTCTTCCCTGCTTCAGATAATAAATCTTTCTCCACTTTTATGTCTTGGCTATGTTTATTTTGGCTTTGCACTCACCAAGATATGAACCCAGGTAGTTTGTGTTGCTTGTTAACCACCAGAGGCCAATGAACAGAAGCAGGAAGTGAATTCTTAAACAATTTATTCAGAGAGCCAGCAATCTAGGAAGACAGAGTGTTATCATCCCTCAATCTGCCTTACTCAGACCATCGCCAACTGGTCCATTTTATAGGGAACAAGAACAAAGACAATTAATCATTCCAAACTTTAGTCTGGTCCCTCCGGTCAGGTGACCAAGCCTTATTTTTATAATCATGGTGTTGGTACTTTTCTTCTTATTTCTTCCTGTACTTTCCCCTTCCTTCCCCCCAGCCCCATAGCGGGAGATTCACATAGGCCTAAGGCCACTGAGTCTCCCATTCCTCCCACAGGATTATCTGAGTTACAGAGTGTACATGCAGAATCCCATTGACAATTACACACGCTGCAAGTGTGTCCTTGTAATGTGGAATATAAAGCGCCCTTACCTGTCCCTTATCACGCGGTCACTTGGTTCCACTGCTGCTGGGCCTGTGCTTGATGAGAGACCATCACAACCCTAGGGGCCATGCATGCAAGAGAGCAGATCAACTCATGGCAGATAGAAGGTAGAGACAGACAGGAAGGGGTCTGGCAAGACAAGTGCTTATGGACTTACTCCTCCAAGCAGGCCCTACCTTTCGATAGCCCTCTTAGAACAAACCATTGACGAATTAATCCATTGAAGTTAATGCCTTCATGAACCAATCATCTCCCAATCTTCTTAATTACTAGAAAATGGAATCAAGTTATAGTTTAAATTTTTATTTACTTGATAATCAAGTTGAGCTTTTCACATATTTTTATCAGTTAATTGAATTGCTTTTTCTGAAGTACCAAGTATTTTTAAATGTAAATATATATATTAATTATTTCAAGTGTGTGTGTGTGTGTGTGCTTTGAGTATGTACATGATGGAGTTACAGGTGGCTGTGTGTCACC